AGAGTTGTCGCGTTTGAATGAATGTTTACCGTTGATTCATGAAACGACACCTTTATGTTGTCGCCAAAACTTAAATTTGAAGAGATTCAGATTGTTTATGATTTAACCATAGTTGAGAAGCAACGCGGTCTTTAAAGGGAAGTAATAGTATTTCATGAACCTGCAAATTTTAATTTATTGTTTATACTAGCAGGTGGGCTCGTAATTTCGCAATGCTCTTGGTACAAATGTGATCTCACCATGAAGCTCTTTGATGTTTTATCTTCGTTTCTTTTGTAGGTTTTGGCACTCTGACAATGTTTCTGTCAACTGTGGTTGCTGCTCTAGCAATCGTTTTCAAATCGAAAGAACTGCTCGCCCCAGAATTATGGAAACATTTGAAAGAAACTGGAATTGCTATTTTGTAAGTTTTACCGATGTATATGTTGTATCGATTTGAATCTTAAGAATGAGAGTTATATGATTGTATCACATTGTTGTCTTCTGGTTATTGTGATCGTTGTGGGCGTACTGCGTAAAAGGCGGGAAAATACGAATGATCAAATCACGATTTGTTCAAGTTTTGAATCTGATTGGTTGAGAAGGTGGCGTGAGCTTTCTGGACCAATCACACGGGGAAGTTAAACAAAATCACAGCAATCCTCGATTACCTTCGACACTCAATTGAAAAATACTCTACTACATGAAGAATGCAACTCTAAAGATTGTTTAAGCATCAAAACAAGATACAATAACATATTTGCAGGATCAGGATTTCGTGGCTAAGCTGGTTTTATAATTATAATCATAATTTCATAATTATAATGAGACTTGAAGGCTTTTCGAAAGACGCAATCTAGTACTCATGGCATGTTGTTTTTACAGACCCACTTTGGCCTTGGCTATTTTTCTGATGTTGTTCCAGTTGTTTCTGACACATTTCGTCTTCCGGTACTCGAATTATCCAAACATCACTGTCACAATTGATAATAGGTATTGTTGTATATCATTCTGAGCTGAATCTCTTGTTGTGTGATACGTACGCCCTGAACAACTGATCTACTCATTACAAACACGTGCAGGCATCTATGACTAGTACTAGGCCTGACACAGTGCAGTCCGATTCGGTCCGTAATTTATCAAGTGATTGACAAAATTATAACAGTAAGCATATAACGTGTATAGTCACATAGGCATGCTACGTTAAATGGCCAGTTACAAGCATAACGTTAACTGTACACTGTCCTTTTAGTGCACCAATCAAAACTATAGCAAAACTCGCGAACGTGATTAATTATCACCAGCCCGATTTGAGAACTAATAGGACGGTGTACGCGTCATGTGTGTAATTGGACAGTGTAAGAGGATAGTTAAAGAGACAGTTAACACGTCATGCCAGGGTAAGTGGACAGAACGCGTCGTGTGCTGTTGTTTCGTATTTTGCCGAGTTAACGGTTGCTTTTTTTTCTTTTTCTCTTTTTAATGAAAACGTACAACCACAACCGATCTCTAGTTTCTTTCTCAAATTTTGTTACGACTACTGACCGAATTGGACTCCGCTCGGTCCTATTTGGCTGCTGATGACCGATGGCGTAGCAAATTTTATCATTGTGTTGATAGGATATGTCGTATGCTACTGTATGTTTAGTGGTCAACTCACGCCTTGCCGAGAGAACGTTCAATACAAAGCTGCGGTAGATTAATTGAACGTCGACACAACAACTCATCGACAGAAACATCTCTGATGAGAAGATTTTTGCCATATATCTTTGTTATCATTGTATGTGTGTTTATTGTTGTTGTTGATGTTGTTGTAGTG